TCGATACTAGAAGAGAGGTGCAGTATGTGTGACTTAGGTACAGGATAAATTCCGCCGACATCTGTTCGTGCATTGACACCGGTTTTGGCATTGGTACAAATGTGGAGAGTGCTAAAAATTCTCCTGGAAAATTTTGGCCATTAAGTCGTTCTAGAAACTTGGTAATTTCTAATTCCTTTGGGGTGTTGTTATTTCTGACGTTCATCGGCAAGGACCGGCAAGAACCCAGGGGGTAGAAAATATCTTCCTGTGAACTGGAACCGTAAACAGTTACTTACCCAGCCCGCTTTGCCAGAACGTGCTTCAGTACTGTCGGCGGGCATATCTTGTGATATTGCAAAACGTGCCCTAGGTGCGCAGTGACTTACGGTGCACTGTGCGCGAGGGATGGGTTGTAGGATCGGGTTTCCAATGTGTGTTCATGTTTTCTAGTATGATTTCGTACGGTTTTAATGTTGTTACACTCTGAATCTAAATTGGTAAATATCACTGTATTTTTCATATATGGTGTATTGAGTCAAACGACACATTACACATACCAGTTGCAAATAAGAAGCGTCAGTACTTATGGTATGGTTAGATTTGCATGTAAACAATGTGTTTGAATGTAAATGCAACATCATATATAAACTAGATTTCTACGATTTCATACCTTCGCCAAAAAAGTTTTACCGTACGATTGGCAAATTATGCTTCTCATTGAAATACATGTGTACAAGTAAGATCGTTTGCCAGAATTATATAATCAATTATGAAACAAAGCATATTCGTGGTAAATATCATATTTTTTAAGGTACACTTATATTCATGACATGAAGTTTAGCATAGCGGTTGAGTGGGTAAATACCCCAGGCCTTTTTATTTTTTATCGAGGCCTTTAAAATTGTTTCAGCCATTTTCAGATAAACAGTTTGAAGCCTTGGTATTAAATGCGAATGGTCTCAAATTTGGTAAAGGCCACTTTTTTACTGCTGTAATGTCAAAAATTACTTTGAGTAGTGTTATTTGCCATACTTAGAATGTGGAGTGACTTTTGACTAGCCAATGTTCAGGTGGTAATTCTCATTGCTGATTGTCTGTTGGAATAATTGGATTACACTGACACCTGGTAGCAGTATATAGGTAGCTATATAATTTAATTATCAAGGCAGTACCCTTGCCGAATTGCTATAATGGTAGGGCTTTTGCCTGTGGTCCAGACGTTTGGACGTCCTAATCAATGTAATTGATACTTTTATAAACAATAGTTAGTAATCATTGCCAAGGAATGCTAATAACGGCATTTTTTTATTTTCATTTTTTTGCCCTTTTGGCAACTGTGCCCCTTTTTACCCTAATTGTGCTCAAGGTTACCTGGCGTTTTCTTACGGAACTGCAGCGAGCTTTGTATCAACGTGTGTCTGTATGTGTACGGCATTACTGGTATTCGAAAAGATGTAGATGTTTTTGGCGACGTCTCCGGGAGGAGCATTATGATTTATATTTATTTAATCTTCAAAGACACCTGGGTAGCTCCTTCAGCCAATAGCTGATTTCCAAGGAGGCCCAGGGGGTACAATAAGTAAAAGAATAATAGATTATACAAAGTACATAACAAAAGATGTAAATGAAATCAGTATAACTGGAAGTTATACATAAATAAATGAATAATACGAAGTTCAACATGAACTGAGGGAATTTACAAGAAAACAAATCATAATTATAATCAACGTAAATCGATTTCCGTTCAAAATGATTGGAGGTCAGAGGTCGTCTTTATTGATGCCTTGAAGTGTTTTAAAGTTTGAATCTGCCTTACTCCTGCTGGTAGTCTATTGAAGTACCTCGCACCCGTGTAAGCGAAGGCTCGCTGACCAGTTGAGGTATTGTGTGCAGTATTGTGTGCAGTTTGCAAGAATTCTAGGAATGGTACAAGCATTTTGTCCACAGGAATGGAATGTCCACATGCATTTCTCTGACCCACATCTATGCCCACATTCCTGGAAACCTCTCTGCTTGGGAAGACCTCTCTGCCCCGGATGGCCCTTCTTTCTGTGACCCCAGGGCTCGTTCACTATACACTCAGGGGAGGAGTGCACTGTATCTGTCTAGACTTAACAGGTACCAAGTCTTCCTCAAAATCATGAAATGATGACAGCGCCATGCAAGCAATAACAATAACACTAACAGCAACCACCGTCGCCATGGCAATGTATGTTTTCATTGCCAGTCTTGTTAGATATTTGGCAGATGGGTAGGGGTCGCGATAAGACAGGTTACCCTTTGCTAGGTGTTTGAATCAGTCCATTTTATGAGGAGAGAGATGGGATGAGATATTCTGTATTTGCCTGGCATCAAATGCCTGCCTGTCTAGTTTTAAATTCAATCTTTGTATCATTACATCGAGGTCGCTGGTGTACCAGACATGTATATTGTTTTATAGGAGGGCGGCAACATACTTTCTTGATAGACCTGGAAGAGTCGATGAGGCAATTTTTTAGAGATTCAATTTTGACTTGGGTAATAGTGAAAAATCCATATTTTTGTGGAAGATTTTGGGAATGTTGCACTTTTGCACAGGGGTAAGTTCAAAACAGTCATTTTTTGCAAGGGAGGGTAATGAAGAAGTGAAAAATGTTATATTTTCTCTCAGTGACCCTACATTAATTGACAGTGGCTCTACAGTGAGTAATAGTGACCCTACAGTAAGTGACAGTGACCCTACAGTAAGTGACAGTGGCCCTACAGTAAGTGACAGTGGCCCTACAGTAAGTGACAGTGTCCCTACAGTAAGTGACAGTGGCCCTACAGTAAGTGACAGTGGCCCTACAGTAAGTGGCAGTGACCCTACAGTAAGTGACAGTGGCCCTACAGTAAGTGACAGTAGCCTTACAGTAAGTGACAGTGGCCCTACAGTAAGTGACAGTGACCCTGCAGTAAGCGACAGTGGCCGTACAGTAAGTGACACTGGCTCTACAGTAAATTACGCTGGATTCTTCTATTGTTTCAGCGGTAAAACGTTCAATTGTAACCACCAGCTTAACACGTCTCTTATAGACACAATACCTTTGTCATTATAAATACGATCCATGGCAATAAAATATGACGCAACAATTGGTAAGGTGTAACGATATAATCGGATTTAGCCTTGTCGTCGTTGCTCATTTGTTTTGGATTACTTTTTCATCATTTCGGAATTACAGACTAACTAATTCAGCGCTGTTTTGGAAGACTGAAGAGGACGTTTGTCATGTTGATATGCACTTTGACATTTCGCATTAAAACCGAAAAGAGTAGATTCTTGCTCAGGCTCAACAACATTGCTTTTTCCGGGGTTTGTATTAGCCTAAAAAATAAGAATAAAAACCGGCCACGAAAATAAGACAGTAATTGAAACTAGTTTTTGCCCATTACGTTACTGTGGTCTTGACTTGTAATGGTTGTTAGAATAAAGCACGTTTTTGAGCAAAACAGCACATTATGGGACAAGCTTGATTTTACTGGATTCATCAAGACGCTATAATTTGTAAGTCTGGCTGCAAGCGCACAAGATCATTTCATAGCGCACTGATCAGAGCGGAACTGGAATGAAAGATGCATTGACTCGTAAATGTTTTTAAACCCAGTAATATCTTTGATGTGTACATTACATCAAATGGAAGGTGCAATCGATGTAAGACTTGAAACGACGTAATAATTTTTCACAGACATACTGCTGAGTATATCTATCACTAAAAAGTTACTGAGGGTTGTCAATTGTAATATACGGTTTTCTAGTTTTATTTTCTTTTTATTTTCAATAATACATACGACATGCTGTAATTTTCCTTTTGTTTGTAAATCTGTGACATATAATTTCAATGTCTGTAAAATCATAGTAACAAAAATATCATTACAAAGGAAATACAGAATCGATTTCTGTAAATTTAGGAGGCTTCTCTGAGTCAGGACTTGAGCCGATTCTACTAGTTTAGGAGAGCTAAGCATACGTAGTGTTGACAAATCATCTCACGAAATGCCCTAACTAGTGGAGTTCTAACTGGTCTATTCTCCTCGATCTATTCATTGTTACCCACATGTGACTAGGTGATTAGTAACTTCCAGAGAGGAATTGAAACCTCATTACGTCCGACTGTTGAAGACGCCACGTCAGTCTTTCTAGGCAATTGAACAGCTCTTAAAGGAAATGGCATTCTGTGGAGTCTAAGCCGCTTATTGATGGTATCTGTCAGAAGTGGTGCTGGAACAATTATGCGGCAAACTTAGCTGGGGGAAAGTCGGTATTCCTGATTCTGCCGCTGTCCTGCCCTAGATCTATCCGCTCAGGAAGTCAGCACTTTTAGGAATAATAGATCCTCTTGGGCTCTGCCTCTTCAGCAGAACTAGATACAGGGTTCTTAGAATAGGCCGTGTTTAGGCCGTGTTTATGTGAAGTCACCCAAGGTGCTTTACATGTGGTTTACCCCGAAGCGGGTTTCAAGTGGCTCCATCTGAACGCTCCAAATCACATTGAAAGCGCCTCGATCCCAAGCCACTTCTAGAGGTGGTTTCGAATCGGTTTTCCCGCATCGCGATTTGCGTCTGAACGCAATGTGATTTCGCCTGGTCATGGATTACGGGGTGATATTTCTTTATCTATATGCAATACCAACTTTTACGTGGCAGCAACTTAAAGAGCAGTAATGGTCAAGTAATGTGTCCGTTCTAGGGCGAGCTTCACCGCCTCTGTCCGGACCACGTCGGCATTCGGCCGAGATACGCTGGGAGGGGGGCACCAGCAAGCAGGTCGTAGACCTCGGACATTTTATAACACGCTACCTCGCGTGTTTTCATCAAACAACAATGAATGCAGTTTCGGAGAATCGTTATCGGGCACAGTTTGAAAACAATGGTGGCAAGTGCACCAGATGTAAGGAATGTGAGTTACCCGAATCGCGGTTTGGGTGACTTCACATGAACACGGCCTAAGTCCAAGACGACGCTTTCTCCCGTAGTCTGGCGTAGATTTTCATCCCTCTTACCTCCATGTCTGTAATTTAAGAGAGTAAATCAGCTGAAATTTGACACCTTCACTACGTGAGGGTAGTTTAGGGCGATAGAGATAAGCACTTTCAAACTGAGAAGTCATCCACAGTACTTTCTACCGAGGTTCCGAAATCTGTTCTAGTATCGATGTCCCAGCGAAAATGTTGTAATCTGCTAGGTTTGGGCCGCGGATATCTCAGCCCACATTCTCAATGGTCCATTCCACTTAAGTTAGAGCATTACTAGTAGTCAAGTGGGCGCCTAAGAATTACGAGCATCTCCTTCCACCGGAATCCCATCAGATTTGGAATGTGTACTATAGAGAAAACATTTCCAGCATGTATTTCCTGAAGTGTTCTGCAGGATGTTACAAGTAAGTGCTTACAGCAAAGTTTTATGCCCAGGGGCTTCACAGTTACTGCGTAAATGTACATCATACTTAGGACGGCCGTTAATCATCCGCCAATAGTCTAAGGTTTAGTAAGTTAGTGGAGCAGATTTAGGGATAAAATAGAGTGGTTTAGTCAGTCTTTATGGAGTTAGTTTGTGTGTGTAGAAAACCTGGAACATTTCATAATACTCAAAGTAAATACAAACTATACTACTGGATAAATTACGGAGATGATATCCGGACGTTTCGAGTGACATCCACCACTCTTCTTCAGCGTCACTAATGAACTAACAGAACTCGATAAAGCATATATGAGCAAGTCGAAAAACCGGTTGAACATGACAAGGGTCCATAACGTCATTGATATGACCACCGCCATATAAAAGAGATTTATTTTTATGGGAAAACGATCTGATTTTCACATATTTTGTTAGAAGTATCCTGAACCCTTACATATTAGATTGTCCTTGGTACTGAATATGCCTTGAATTAGGAAAAAGAACAACTACTAAATATGCAAAAAAAGCCATTTGTTGCCTGATTTGTATGAAATCCTACCTACATGCCAGAAATAATTGAAATCAGTTCTTCCTTTTCTGAGTCATGATGATTTCTAACAGAAATGCCACTGCAGTTTCAGAAGCGGCCGTTAGGGGACAAAAGGTAAATTAAGTTGCAGTACCAAGGACATATGTCAGGAGGCCCTTAATCGACTTTTGCCAACATATCAAATACCACGTGGGTGCGTATGTGTGTGGGCGTGTATGTGTGTTTGTTCATGTATTTGTGTGTGTTTGTATGTGTCTTCGTTTGTGGGTAGGTGTGTGTGTGTGTGTGTGTGTGTGTGTGCGTGTGTGTGTGCGTGTGTGTGTGTGTGTATGTGTGTGCGTGAGTTTGTTTGTTTGTTAGTTGGTGTATATCCGTGAGTGCTTTTGTGTGTCTATAGGTGTGCTTGTGTTCCTTTGTGTGTGTGTGTGTGTGTGTGTATGTGTGTGTGTGTGTGTGTGTGTGTGTGTTGTGTGTGTGTGTGTGTTGTGTGTGTGTGTGAGTGTGTGTGTGTGTGTGTGTGTGTGTGTGTGTGTGTGTTGTGTGTGTGTGTGTGTGTGTGTGTGTGTGAGTGTGTGTGTATGGGTGTGTGTGTGTGTTTGTGTGTTGTGTGTGTATTTGTGTGTGTGTGTGTGTGTGTGTGTGTGTGTGTGTGTGTTGTGTGTGTGTGTGTGTGTTGTGCGTGTGTTGTGTGTGTGTATTGTGCGTGTGTGTGTGTGGTTGTGAGTGAGTTTGTGCCTTTGCAGTTACAAATGGAGTTAAGCAAGGGTGCGTGCTTGCACCGACGCTGTTCAGCATGATGTTCACTGCCATGTTGTCTAATGCCTGCCGCGAGGATGATGCCAATCAGGTACCGTACTGACGGCAGACTCTTCAACTTGAGGAGACTTAAGGCCAAGACGAAGGTGAAGGTGACGTCTGTGCGTGACTTCCTGTTTGCAGACGACAGTGCGTTAAATGCTGCCTCAGAGGACTTGATGCAACAGAGTATGGATCGCTTTTCCTCTGCTGCTGACAACTTTGGTCTCACGATAAGCACTAAGAAAACAGAGGTCCTGTACCAACCTGCACCGCACAAGCCGTACGTGGATCCTGTCATTACTGTAAATGGGGAATCACTAAAGGCAGTTGCAAAATTCAAGTACCTTGGCAGCACACTCTCCAGGTCTGTAAACTCTAAAGACGATGAGGTTGACGCACGGGTCGCTCTGGCAAGTTCCTCCTTCGGACGTCTGCGAGCCTCAGTGTGGGAGAGGAGAGGCATTAGACTGAGCACGAAGTTAAAAGTGTACAGGGCAGTTGTGCTGCCATCACTACTGTACGCCTGCGAAACATGGATGATCTACGCACGTCATGCCAGAAAGCTCAATCGCTTTCACATAAACTGCCTGAAAAGACTCATGAAGATCACTTGGCAAGACAAAGTCTCAGACACGGAGATCCTCCAGCGGGCCGATCTGCCATGCATCCACACACTGCTGAGGAGAGCCCAAGTCAGATGGGCAGGCCACCTGGTAAGGATGCCTGACACACCGCTACCGAAGAGACTTCTGTATAGTGCACTGGCAGAAGGCAAGCGCTCAGTAGGAGGACAGAAAAAGCTCTTTAAGAGTTTCAAGATAGACATATCTACCTGGGAATCAGCATTTCAAAACCGTGCTGCCTGGCGCAGCCACATCAGCAGCGGGGCTACCCTCTACGAGCAAACCAGGATCGCAGAAGCCGTGAGGAAACGCGCTTCCAGAGCTGCCCCCACATCCCGGACTCCAGAAACCCACCTGTGCCCGACCTGTGGCAGAACCTTCAGAGCCCGTATAGGACTGGTGAGCCACAGCCGGACACACAAGACCTGATGTGATGTTCATTGGTCATCGTCGACTACGACGGACGAACAACAACAAACAACAACAACAAACAACAACCTGTGCGAGCTTGTGTGTGTGTCTACAGGTGTGCTTGTATGTGTGTTTGTATGCGTCTGTGTGTTGTTTGTGTCCGTGTGTGTGTGTGTGTTGTTTGTGTCTGTGTGTGAGTGAGTTTGTATATGTGTGTGTGTGTGTGTGTGTGTTTGTTTGTTTGTTTGTTTGTTTGTTTGTTTTATGTGCTTGTTTACCAGTGCGAGCTTGTGTGTGTCTACAGGTGTGCTTGTGTGTGTGATTGTATGTGTGTTTGTATGTGTATGTGTGTTATTTGTGTTCCTCTGTGTGTGTGTGCCCTTCGGTGCCCTGAAGCACTATTACACTAATCCCTGCACCGTTGAACAAAACAGATACATTTCGCTAAATGCGTACCGATAACTGAGGCACAGCTGGTACCGTAGATGGCTGAGGATTACCGCAAATCCAGTACAAGTAGGAAGGTGAACGGATCCTTACTTACACCTGGAGGAAAATCATAGTTAATAAGGTAAGAATAAGAATGCGTAAAAGAACCAAATGCAGAGAAGGCGACTCTCACTAACAGATATTTATCTTTTAGAATAGATCCAAAGAGTATACACAAAGTACTTCCATGAAAAATAGAGGTATTATTTCGGGTTTTTCTGTGTGATTGCTTATAATGGATGTGTCTGATATAATGTATGTGTCTGATTACGCTGGATCAAGATGATATCTGTAAGTTGTGTAGGTCTTTAAAAAAACGAGAGGCAAGGTTACATATGGGCCTTCTTGTACTGCTGCAGAACAGGGTTTCATGTTGAGTGGCAGCTTTCATGTAGAGATCATGGTGTAGTCTTGGTACTCTAGCAGCTTGTTATAGAGCTGCAGAGGATACGTCAAGAAAAGAACTGCGCATTTTGGTTAAGCGTCGGTCACAACCCGCCGTACGTGCTTCTGCGTGCTGTCTACGTGCAAAAACGTGGGCAAACGTAGGGCATTCGTGCGTGGTGAGTACCACCTCCATACGGAATCCTACGGATTTGGGAGTACGCAGACACGCCGTAGAACTGAAAGTGCATGTAAAACTTTTTCTGCGTGCGGTCTACGTATTAACCACCCGTGCGGGCGACGTGCGTACCCCGTACGTGCCGTGCGGAAGAAGCACGTGTGAGTACGGCCTCCTTACGGTAAAGTTGCAATCGCACAGAGATTGTATGTTGTAAGCACGTACAACTCACTTACCACTTGCGCAACGTACGATGCACGCAACCGCTAACGGCCAGACGTGGCGTGCAGACCCCACCCTTTCACCTTGCGCAACCGTGCGAGTGACGTTCCCCACGTTTTCAGAAAAAAACGTAGCAGACGTAGCCTCCCAAAAAACGTACGGACAAATAGCACTTACGGCGGGTTGTGACCAAGGCTTAATTTAGGCATGTCTAGCCTAACACAATAAAAAAATTCAATAATTCTTTTGCTTTGCATGATAGGACTCAAATAAATGCAGCGCCCTTGTTTTGTCGTCGTCCATCAGTGGCTCACCAGTCCAGAGGTTTTCTAGTCTGGCGTGCGTAGGTAGTCCATGTCTCGCAGGCATAGATTAGAGATGGCAGTACAACTGTTCCGTACACTTGCATCTTTTCAGTGTAATGACTCTCCCCTGACAAACAGGAACTCGTAAACACCCAAAAGAGGAGCTTGCTAGGGCGATTCCTGCACGGGCCAAATGGTCTATGTGTACAGATCTGGAGATTGAGCTGCCAACTTTTCAACTGCCTACATGTACAGGGTCTTACCATTGAAAGTGATGACAATTTCTACGTACTACAGAACCTATGCCAATGTCTAAATGTAACGTATGGGAGATGGAACATTAACGTATGTGCTTTATGTAAATTAAAAACCTAATTTGCATATCAATAGAAAAATGGTGCATTTAAAACTAGAGTCCCACAATCTCATACCTTCGCCAAATGATGTTAATCAGATTATTCCTCCTGATTATGCAAATAGGATACTCATTTGCATGAATTATATCAGTTGATTTACTTGATTATATTCTCGATCAAAAGACAGCCTTATCTTAACAAAGAAAGCCATTCTATCATTTCCTCATAAATTATGCAAATAAGGTCCTTATTTGAATAAGTTATGTTTAATGATGTTCACCTTTACTTAACTTTCA